CATTGCAGGGACACAAAATTTCGGTCTATCCTGTGGAATGACCTCCCATGTTGACACACTAGGCTCACCTGAGGGGCTAGGGTTTACCCGAAGCTTTCTTGCAGTAGCAACTGCACCTTTCTTCTTCTTCGGACCCTTTGATGCTGAACTTGATGCGGCACCACCGCTGCCTACAGCCATCTTTTCAGCCTCCTCCTCAACAAGCTTTTGCCTATCCTTCGGACTAAGCATTTTCCAAAAGTCCGATGGGATCGACTCGGGGCGTTTTGACCCTTTGTACGTTTTCACAAGGCGTGTGCCGTCCCAATGATAACCATCCGGGATTGGAGTACCAGTTGGAGTGTACTTGATATCAGGAAAAACTGGTTCTTCAGCCGGCCTTTCATCACTGGCAAGTGCGTCAAGCACTGCCTCCGTTGACTTGTCAATTGCTGCTTCACTTTCTTCTACATGTTCCTCGGTTTGCAATTCGGATTGAAACGGAATCGGACGAGGATCAGCAATGACGTTGTCGACTAGGCGGTCCGGCTTGGGCTCTTTGGCCTCTTTCAGTGCACGGAGTGGGAAGACAAAACCTCCCGCGATGAGCTCAACACGTCGTGCTCGCTGCACTGTGATGCTGCCCGTTTCTGCATGGTAATCCAATGCTTCTAACTTGGCAACAAGATACTCACCTTTCCATGCAAAACCAGGTTGAATGTGGTATCCCAAAAAGATTCCATCATTTGCTGTTGGTGATGTCTTTCCAGATGTGTTGTCAACCCTTTTTGGATTGTTCCAAAACAGTATCTTTGCACCGAAAGGAATCAACTGACCTGGAAAGTCTTCTTCGAATCTGAGTTTCCATGGGGCATCATCACCATTGAGCTGTGGCGTAGCATTCACTGCCATGGAGAAATGCTGCATAGCCATTGGCCAATACTGCAATGGAAGACCTGACTGCACAAGGTTTGTGCGTGTGCCTTCAAGCATGTGTCTGATCTCCCTCTCCACAAACGACTTTGAGCTGTCCACATACTCTGTTGATGTTTGATGTCTGTACCCCAACTCTGAAATTGTAGCAATAAGTTCTCGTGAATTGTCAGTGTAAACTGCCCCAACTTCATCCTTGTGGGATAAGAAGTGGTTGAACGCATTAACACATGATTCGCTAGATTTTGTCTGGCTTGGATAGACGTGTCTGAACTGTGTGTGGATGTCCTTCATCACCAATGCCACTGTTTCACCTTTGACGCCTTCTTCCACATTGGATTTGATTACAGTATGGTCAGCGACAATGTGATCCCCAAAACTTTTAGTTTCCAACCTTTTCTGTCCCCCTTTCTTCTTTGCGGGTGGCGCCATCATGCGTGCCTTTTGACAGATTTTGCAAAATGGATTCTTGGGGTAATGGCAAAACTGGTGAGACTTACTGCATGCCTCTTGCTCAAGGTCAGATGCCTTTCTAGACCTGATGTATTCGGTTTCACTATCATGAGCTACTCCCTCATCCACACCTTCTTCATCGGCACCTTCTGCTTTCGCAGCAACCATTGCAAAAAGACGTAACAGATCACAATCTTTCTTGAACTGTCCACTGTTCAAAACACGACAAGAGCTATCGATGACCGGCACACGGCCGTCTACGTTAAGCTCAATGACTCCCATGTCCGGACGAATGAAGTAAGGCCTACCATCAGCTGGCCACACAAAACTGTAACCCTGTTCCATACACCTGACCCCAACCGAAAGAACAGCAGGAGTTTCCTCAAGAATGTATGGTGAGAATGGCTGATGTAGGGCATCGACTTTTACGTCGGCCACCTCATCTGCTCGTGTCGAACCGTTTGCTGTAGCAAGGCTGATCGGAGTGTCGCTGATACGGCGGTTTGTCGCCTTTGCAGTCTTCAGCATACCCTCACTGATCAAATCCTGTTCACTGCCCGTGTCAACCAACCAAACACATCCATCTTTTGATGCAGGTGTAGCAACAGTGGGCAAATGAGTATTACTGACTTTGTTCTTGGGACCGATCATTGCTCTACAATGGTTGCATGATACTCCCCCTTCTGGGTCATTGCATCGGAATCGGCACTTGGGCTGCGTTTCACTGCCGAAGAGCTTCACAAGTTCCTGCAACTGTCGGGCCGAAACCTGAGCACGGTGAGCCACGAGTTTGTCGGGTTTTGGCACTGACTCTGAATCAGGGAACGTCTTCTCATAGATTCGGGGTTTGTGCACTACCTTCCTCTGTTCACCTGTTGCTGGGACTTTGATGTATTCCACTTTTGATGAAAACACAACGGCTCTATGGCATTGTTCTTTCATGGCCTTTGTGGCTTTTGGCAACCCTTTTCCCTTTGCTATGCATGCATACCTTTGGGTAATGCATGGCGCAGCTTTTGCGCTGGCCTTCTTCTTTGGTGCAGGGCTATTGGTGCGTTTTGGATCCTTTGTGGGTGCAGCTGCAACTTCATGTTTGTAAAAACATTTGTCACCACGACGACATTTGCCCTGTTGGAAGTAAGTGCATGGGATCTTGGCCATCTCTTCCTTCGACTTTCTGTTGGGGGAACCACTTCTGCTACCACCTTTGCCCTTGCCCTTTCTTTTGGGGGTACCAGATCTTGAGGAATCTTTGACATGCTTGTAGGGACAGTCTTTACCCTTTTCACATTTGCCATCCCTGAATTTGTAGCATATTTTGTCCCCTTTTCCACTCTGGCTACGGCCACGGGTTCGACCTCGGTCGCCCTTTCCTTTGCCGCGATCTTTGCCCCCCTGAGCGGGTGCAGCGGGCTGAGGCTTTTCGGTCTGCTTGTTCTTTTCAACGATTCTGTTTCTGTTTGAACGGAGTCTTTCTCTATCCAAAAGGTCACGAATGTTTCTCAACAAGAATGCATAAGACTTTTGTTCTGACTTTTCAGGAGCTCTGTCAAATGCTTCAATGTCATACTTCATCAGTTGACATTTTCGGATTTGTCTAAGTAAGATGTCTCTGAGAACCAAATCATCTGGTGGGGTTTCCATGCCGGCAATTGTGGCGTCCCATCGGTTAAGAAACCTTCTAAGGTCCTCCACAGATTCTCCAGTGCGAACGACTCCAAGTAGGTCCTCGACGCGGTAGAGACTGCCAGCTTCCTCAGACGTCCTGAAGTAATCTTCAAACATCAAAAGGACTCTCCTACCTCTGACTTGGATCCCATTCTTCGACTTCTCATCTTTGAAGTTATGGATCTTCGTTGCTAAGTCACCTTTGGCTGAGCGAGTTAACGCTGCCGACAATTTGGTGTCAAGTGTGATGAACTTCCCAGGTTCCTGTAGCTTTTCCTCCAACTTTTCCCTAGGGGTTTTGTTGTCAAAGACTTCATTGAGCCAAAGCCAAGCCTCATCGGGTTTGTCGGAGCATGATTTCACTTCATCCCTGACATGATTACGCCAGTGACGATAAGCTTCTGGGGCAGGCATGTCATTCAGTTTGATAGTCTCTGCCTCTTTTGTTCGTGGCTTTTCACCATCTGAATCCTTTGAAGTCAGTCTAGTGATGAGATCTAGCAATTGTTGACCTGAAAGACCTAAGCCTGCTTCAGCTGCTTTCTTGCCAGGGTCGCTTGCTATGACTGTAGGACTGGGCACACTATGATCTTGGTTTGCATCATCATCATTTTGTCTTTGAACTGGCAATGGTGGAAGTTTTGGAGGGGCTGCTGATCCGGCAGGGGTTGTTGAGAACAGGTTGCTCAACCTTTCTTTAGCGTCAATGGCTAAGCTACTCATACCAGTGTTTGGCATGGGTTCTGCTCCAGCCTTGGTACCGACCGCTGATTTTGGGGTCATGTACAGATCGACATTATTACCGCCTTGTGCATCATCAACTTCGACGGCTCTGTCGACACTGATTTCCGGGGCGCTGTACTTATTGAGCTTCTCCATTAAATCCTCGACTTGTCCCTGCAATTGGAAATTGAGTTCAGCAGCTTGGTTTTCCTGCCTACTGCATTCCTCTCTAATCTCCTGAATTACAGCTTGTTCCTCCTTCTTGAAACCTTCCATGCCGTTCTTTGCATACTCCACTGTTTCGTCCACGATTCGTTTACAGTCTGCCTCGAGGCTACCTCTGAGTTCAGAAAACCTTTGTTCGTACTGGGCTGTAATATGGGCTACCTTTTGGTTGGCTCTTTGTTCAGCTTCCAGTGCAACCGCATTTGCAGCGTTCTTTAGCTTTGCGTTTGCATCGCTAAGTTCCTGTCTCAGTTTTGCTACCTCATGCTCAGCTGCCGTTTGGGACACTGAATACTCTGACACTAGGTGTTCATGTCTGCGATCCGCTTCTGCACGTTGATGGGCAATTTCGCTAAGGCAAACTCCCTCAAACTCTTGGTACAGTTGCTGGACCTTTTGCTCCATGAGATGTGTGTGCCTCTCCTCCGCCTCTTGCCTGAAAGCATCAATGTTACCTTCGTTGATGTAGGTAAGATTGTTTTGCACGAACTGGAAATATGCTTGCACGGGCTGTGTGAAGAAACCTTCATCCACTGACATGGGCGTGGGGTTTGTCCCAGCCGGCAAGCTTTGTTGTGAACCAGTTGTTGCAACCGCTGCTCCAGACGAGGGGACAAGGGCACCTCCACCTGAGGTGTCTCCAGTTGTCCTTTCCATGGCTTTAAGAGACTACGGCTGATAACCTGTATTTTCAGGTTTCAGCTGGGTTATGACTATAATCCCAAATAGACTGATAAACCTAAAGGTGGGGAAAGAAAATAACCGTTAAGCGCAGCAACTCAACCCTTTTTAGCCTGAGCCGCATAGCTGTCATGTATAGCTAGTTTACATAGGGTTTATGGTGGAGTGCAAATACACGATATTAAGGGATATATCTCCAAATATCTCCAAAAATGATGAGTTTTGGATTGGTTGTGAAATCATTTAGAATCAATGAATGAACTGATGGATTGGACAGCATCCTAGCACCAGGATTTGCCGGTAGCAGTGCAGGTGAGCCCCAAATCATGGCAAGGTGCTGATCCACATCCCAGGCTGTACCTGTCGCCAGTTGCTGGTGGATGCTGGCGGCATAAAGTTATTTTCCGGACATGTTCCGAGCTTCTTGGCCAAAGATGCCACAAGACGATGTCAAAAGATATCAAACTATACGTATTATTCTCATTTATTCTCATCAGCGGAAACAATCAAAACTGCCAAAGAAAAACACTCGAAAAGAAACTCCAAACCTCCAACCACCATCAACCAACATCAACCAACTGTCAAAAACCCATCAAGGATCCATGCCGCCCCAAAACAACCACCCGCCCGCCCACAGGGAGGGCCCGCCTCCTCCGCCTGCTGAACCCCTCGGTCTGGCACTGGGGCGCCATTCTTCGGCGGACCGTCTGGCAGGGCGCGGTCTTCCTCGTCTGGGCGCCAGTGAGACCTGAGCGAAACAAAGTGAACCACTGGATGGTTGGGATATGTTGGGATGGTATGAGATGGATAAGGATTGTTGTTGATAAAGATAAGAAATCTCAATCATATGGCTATATTGGCCTTGGCAGACCGCAAAGTTGCTTCAACTTCGGATGTGTTCCGGGACAAAAAGATTTGCCGACTGGACTGAAGACGCTTGAAAACCTGAAAAGTATGAAAACCCAACCGACCCTGGAGTAGGAGGCCTCTTAAATGACCACCAACACAGCCTTGGTCAGTGTGGAATCCGCAAGGCCAAAGACATGACCGATGTCCCATCTGGGCTCGCAGCCACCCAGCTCCTTCTGTCACAAAAAACCTCAAGAGCATCTCAGAAGGTTTGGGCATCAGCCAATGATCCAAGCTGTGAGATACGGAGACAACAAATTCATGTACAAAAAACATATAAACACATAATATCTCATGATATCTCGCTCTCGTGTTTTCTCGTTGTGCTGTTTGATTCGTCCACGTCTGGCCTAAAAAAACACCATGACTTCCCCCCACGACTTCGAAGGTGACCCCTGCAGTCCAGCCACAAGTTCAGAAACTGCATGATGCGGCGCGGTACCATGCAATGCGGATGGTAGCATTGAACCTAGGGATAGGTCTGAAAAACATCAACATATTTGCAATTTATGGGATATCTGATGATTCTTGGACTTGTGTCCCACATCTTCCAAACATCAGTTTCGAAGTGGACCCTTATCATGAGGGCAGTAGGGGATTAAGTCCCAGCAAACGGCGCTTCGGTAAAAGCAAATGATGGTCAAAGCACCTTATCCTACCAATGTTACTAATGCCTCAACCTTCAGGATGCCTCAGGAAACTCAGGAAGTATACAAGAAGATGCGTGCAACCAGCACTATCAGCAAGGACATCAAAAGTCAATCAATCTTCAAGGGAATGAGGGCGCCACCGTCACCAGGCACCTGCGAATCGCGTTTTCACGCTTGATCTCAACCAGGGGGTTGACACCGCAACTGATAAGCGCGCTACAAAACTGCTGCTAATAGAGGATTTTTTCCAGAACTTGGAAGATCAAACGATTTTGAGTTGATTCCTTTAGATTCCTTTAGCATGTTGGATCACCAAATGGATATTAAACTGATATATCAAGTAGCGTGCGCCTCCGCAGATCGCTCTTTTCCAGCCTGCCGCACTCTTTGGTATGTGAAAAACAAGAGATCTGCTTCTTGTACCAAACATGTACCAAACAAAGTGAAAAAATAATGACAAATTGACAAAAACATATTCTATGAAACGGAGAACTGTTCTGATTGGTCAACAGAATGATGAGTCGCAGAAATCAGCACCGCTGCGATACTTACTGCGTCACCGTACCCCGCCCCCCCCAAAAAAAATGCGACAATGCTTGAGATGACATCACAGGCCTGCATCCAGTTTGGACAGAAAAGGGCTCCAGACCTTTGGGACCTAGGTCTGATGTCCGTTAAGTCTGGGGGCACGTCAGAAAATTCTAAGCAGTCAAGAATCGCCCATTGAAACGACAACAACTCACTTAGACCCGATTCTGCAAGGCCTTAGAATCTTTGGAAATGGATGCCACAGTTTCACCTTTTCACATTTTTTCACAAGAAGTCAGATCCAAGTTCTTATACTGACAAGTCATGACATGACCTTTGGACACACCAAACAGCTCCTAGCTGCCCGGACCATAAAAGGCTGCCAACGCGGCAGCTGCTACCGCAGGTGAGCGATTGTCCCCACGAGTGCAGTGGATGAGGACCTGGAAAAAAATTGAAAAATATGTTCGTCTTCTTTTCACATCTGTTTTCTTTCCCATTCGTCATCCTCACCCACTTCCAAAGACAGCAATGGCACAACAAAACTAAGTAACTACCACAAATGTTTTATCATGTTTTATCGCGAAATGTTTGGTTGTAGCGGATTGCACTGTTTCCTTTTCACTGGCGCTGCTTCCTTGCCTCAACTCTGGTTAGGTTCGCCAGCTTCGGGCTTCAAACGGCTGGCAGCCAAGCAAGCAGTTGGACGAGACCACCAAAACACTCTCTGGCTCTTGCCCCTGTGACGGTGATGGTTTCTGAGATGATTCCGGCATTTTCCAGGCTGATACTCGCAATGTTTGGTAGCAGGACGACACCTTCTAATTTAAAAATTTACTCCCTTGCATGTCCTCACGCAAACTTCCTTGACGAGAACATCACTCATTTTCTGCACCTTGTTCAGCGCCTTCGACATGTTGCCAGTGCCGCCCACGTCAACCAGGTACGAAGCACCAGTGTCATCCTTGAAGAAAATATCGGCACACGGATGGTTCCCCTCGGCATAATAGAGAGCGGCGTTCTGCATCTCTGCGACTTTGGCAGAGTCGAGCATCTTGCTGTTCTTCTGAAAGATGTAGCCGGGCTGGACGTCTTGGCACTGGAATCTAACCAGCAGCCTGTCAAATTCAAGCCGGCTGAACTTGCACGACCTGCAAGCCAACACCCAAAGATAAGCGGATTCCAAGATCTTCAAAGCTGTTACAGCTGCTCTGGGGGTCGTTTCAAACGCTTGTTTGAAGACCCCTTGACAGGAACAATGTAGCATGTTGGCAAGACTAAGTAAGTCATCGCCTTTGTCACGAAGTAGAACCTCCAGCGGTGCCGTGAGAATATCGTCCAGCGCTACCACCTGTGAAAAACGTTTCTCTTGCAACCTGTCATCATCCTCTTGAATTCCGCGAAGCAGGTCTATTAGGCTCTTCCTCTGCCGTGCTCTGTCACCCATCCACATTCTGTTGCAATGCGCGATGCACTTCTCAAGCCTTCCCTTGACATCGTCACCGGCATTCACCAAAGTGTTGTTCAGCTTGTCCAACAACGGGTCTAGCTCATTAGATGGAAAGTGCATGCTGGCAAGGAGGAGCTTCTGCAAGGCAAGTCCAAGTGACACACGCAATGTTGCCACATGAAGCAGAATTGCCTCATTGTCCATGTCGATGTCGTCCATGGATATAGGCGCTCCGTCATGATTGTCCCCACATCTGGAAGCAAACATGCGATCGGTCGTCGGCAAGTTTCTGAAGACTTCTGCTTGGGCAGGGGTGGAATGTCAGTGTACGTTGCCAAGACCTGGACACCAGGAAGCTCTGCAAGTACTCTCATGGCATCTCTCCGGAAGTCTGGGTCTGGACACATAGACCTCTGCTCATCCACGTGCACCAAAAGCACGCCCTTGGGACTGCGTTGCATGAAGGTGGAAACGTCCTTCTCAAGCAGCTTCTGCGAGGTTGTGTGGCATTCGGCAAGTGCCACTCGTCAACATAGTCACTATCAAAGGTTTGTGCTCTGAAGCAATCCCTCATGTAAGCCGCACCCAAGCCTGTGCGCAGCTCATCATCTTGTCCACATGCTCTCTGCAGCTTGGCTTCGCTCACTCTTCTATGATAATTTCCACTGTTGTTGGCAAATGGCATGTATAGATAATGTGTGAAATTCAACTGTGCAGAGCCTAGCTCTCTGGAACGCAGGAAACCCACCAACACCGATGCCGACTTACCAGAATGGGAAGCCGCTGTGATATAGTCAACAGAGGTGTGCATTCCCAGTTCACTGCTCATCCTTTCAGCAAAACTGTTCAAGTCGGTGATCCTAGCATAGAAGGGCAGCTGATACAACATGAGTAGAGTACCATTTCGAAGCTCTCTCACAGGTAAGGATGCCTGGTATGTGTCAGAATCCTTCAGCAAGATTCAGCAAGGGCACGCCATCCACTTGCATGTTCTTTCCGAAACAAGCTTTCAGTTTCCCATGTATGCCACCACCTTGACACCACCAGGTTTCACCTGCAGTGGCGAGCCTGACGGCCCCTCCTCGATGTGAGGTCGCATGCTCCCACAAAGGTCAGCAAAGTCAGAATTACGAACCAGAGGCGCGGTTTCTTCGCGCTTCGAGTCATGGCATACTGCTATGGCAGGTTGCTAAAGGCATCAGTGCTGAATGGAATGAAAACGTTCATCTATGGTTATTTGCCCACTGCATTGAGATTTCCGCAGAACCCACCCCAACCAAAAGAAAGGCCAATCCGAAATCATGTCACAGTTTGTGTGGCACTTGCATTTTGAGCAATGCTGTCTGCAAACATGTGTATCGACTTGTCATTTAGGCAATCATGTGCTGAGAATTGTGGGTCAAATTCATTCCAAGGAAGTTGTCACACAACAGTTACCCGGGCATCCAGCTTGAACTCTACTTCAAACCCCGAATAGTTTCTGGGGCAAACCCAGAAACTGAACTGACAACCCAAAGACACTTAGAGAAATACTACTTTGTATGTAATCAAGAATTGAATATGCCCTGCTCAATGGTAATATATGGAAATAAACAAGAAATGGACGAAGACATCTTTGACCAAATGGTTGAAGCACTCCACCAATCCAGCAACCCCCACAACTCGCCAACCCAAGCAACACACATACGTTGGAAACCCGACGGAAGTTATGACAAGAAACCAGTAGACCCAGACTATTTTTCGAAATACTATCAAAGGAAACTATCAAAACGAAACTGATATGGAAAACGATATGGTCAATGTTTTGGGTTATGATTGTGTAAATAATATTATTAAATAAACGGCAAACGATGGCAAACGATAAATCAAAGTATGGTACATACTGAATAATTGTAAATCCTGATTCATACACAGCAAATGTTTATGTCCCTCACAAATCTGAAAGCTTCGCCCTTTTTTGGGGATGCAGACATCAATTATGCACAACATCTGAGGTCACGCACTCGTCGTCCTTCCTGCAAATGCCTCCGACGGCGGTGAGTTGTTGTACATGGAAGATAGGCTAATTTGCTCATTGCTGATCACACATCCTTTACCAGAAGTTAGTCTTGAGAAATACACGGATGATCATTGAGATGTAACTGCACTTTCTGTTGGTGGCAGCTATTTATCATTCAGATAAAACTAAATCATCGAAAAGGCACGACTAATCATTAAAGCAGCCCCCAGAGGCACCATGGTGCATTCGGCACCATTCACCATTAACTCTTTGGCTGTTCAATGTGAACCAGCCTGGGACTATTTTAGTAATCTATATGTGATTATATGTATATAATTATATAATCTATAATCAACATTAATAAACATTAATAAACTACACAAATATCGTGTTGCTTATATCGATATCCCAGGCCCCCATCCCAAATCACCGGCTGCTCAAAAACGCCCGGCTCTCCCCAGGCTCGCCTGGCCAGGAACCGCAAGGCCCGTGGCAGGAGGACGTCTTGCCACCAGTGCTTGGTGGGATCATGCCTGGCCATAGGTCCATGGCGAAGTCATGGCCATGGCCCATGTTTGACCATTTTTACCCATTGGATCTTATTGGACTGTCATGGACCATGGATTTTCATGGATTTTCCGTATTTGTTTCTAGATTCGTTAGTTTTAGAGAAACTCGTTGGGTTTCAATCATGGAGGCTAAGGCGGGAACTTTCTCTCATCTGCGGCTGGAAGAAATAAGTAGCGCTTATCGCCTCCACCAAGGACGTCGATGGCGTGTGAGCGAATGTCTTGCCATGTGAATCGCCACGTCGCCACGTCATATGTCGTCATAGCTTGAGATCCCAACCTTTCATCTCCGGGTGTTCCTCTCCTCTCCAGGGCTACAATTCACATGCTGTGCTTTGGGGCACTCGGATCGCAAACTCAGAACAAACTTCATCAATTTTCATTAGATTTGTGCCTCAAATTCAGATATTCTCATGATATTCTCATGATATTCTCATGATATTCTCATGATATTCTCATGATATTCTCTGTTCTTTCAACATCTTTCAACATTTAAAGAAACCAAAAAGCACCAGCATCAGAACCCACTCACTTTCACGGATGTCCTCCACAATTCAGGACTGCATCAATGCCCCTGTCCTGTGGGCTCAAAAGTGGATCCCGTCATGGAAATTCTTGAAAATTCTGGATCTTTGGGATCTTTAAAACATTTTGAAACGGTTTCCGCATGTGATGAAATCCCCGTGGCTCATGAGTCCTTTATAGTCCGGAATATTGTGTTTCTTTATGAGGAACCGGATCTTAGGACCGTTTCCAAACCTGAAATAAATGGTGTTGCATAGTAATCCAATCATTGATCATCGTTTTCCACCTTCGATTTGGAATTCCCCCATGTTTTGGACAAACCGAAGCATCATGTTGTTGGTAGTCCCTAGTCGCACAATATCCTCATCATGCTTGGTTTTATACCCCTGTGAGTTGATCAATGTGGATCATGGCATGGTGGATTCAAACATTCATTAGAATTCACTGGATTAAATCCCCATTTTGGCTAAGTTAAATAGTAAAATCTCATTAAATCTCCAGGACTATGTCTATGTCTTGATGCTTAAAAGCAACAAATTTCAGATGTGTTGATGGTCAAAACCCACCCATTTGGGGGTTGTCTATGCGCGATCTGCGCGATCGGCACCTTCCACACCATGGGCGGCTGGGCAGCTTGAAAGTCGCCCACACACAGGCCCGTTGCAGCGATCTGGGAGCAGACCTAAACGGGGCCATGGTGGGGTTGAAAAGCACCAAAAAGAATTATGTTACCAGGTGTTACACCAAAATAACAAGCATGTGTTGTTCCCCACCTGCCAGGTGAGGGTTGTTAGATTTTATCTAAGTTGCCTTCTCCTCCTCCTCCTCTCCTCCTCCTCTCGTCGTCCTCCTCCTCTCGTTGTCCTCCTCCTCTCGTTGTCCTCCTCGTCTCGTTGTCCTCCTCGTCCTCCTGCTCAACTGCGACTCGCGATCCACAGTGTTCGCTGCCGGACCTCAACCACGACCATCCACCGCCAGTGTTCCCTGCCGGACCTCAACCACGACCATCCACGCCCAGTGTTCCCTGCCGGACCTCAACCACGACCATCCACGCCCAGTGTTCCCTGCCGGACCTCAACCACGACCACCCACGCCCAGTGTTCCCTGCCGGACCTCAACCACGACCATCCACGCCCAGTGTTCCCTGCCGGACCTCAACCGCGAGTATCCACGCCAAGTGTTCCCTGCCGGACCTCATGTAGGAAGATAAAATGTCAGATAGAGTGCCAGAAGATTTGCCAGGTAGAATGCCAGAAAATATGCCAGAAGATATGCCAGATAGATATGCCAGAAGATACGTCAGAATATATGCCAGATAGAATGCCAGAAGATATGTCAGAATATATGCCAGAAGATATAGAAGAAGAAATTCGGATAAAAACCACTAACCATAGCGGTCCCAAAACGGAGCTCAAAATCCGGCGTGTTGCCTTGGGCACCGTCGGCTACAAACACCAAATGTGTCACAAACCAACCGAATGTGCCTTTACAATCATAAGCACAGAGCATGTTCAATCCAGAGTTGGGTCAGCATGAAACTATGCTGTAACTTGACTTTGGCTCAAGATCGGAAAATCCTGCTTGCACCGCTGTGTCGCTGCTGGGTTGGTTGAGCCACTAAAACGTGGTTATCAGCCGTACTTGGCTCTCGGTGCTTGCGCCATTCCTGCTCCAGAAGGTTCTGGTATTTCTGACTGCCTGTGGGATTTAATTATTTTTGGTCGAGGCGGAAGAAGGGGAATTCCTCAGAAGGTATCTTTCATCCAGTCCTGTTTGGACAGTGGGAGTCTTTCGAACGAGTTTCCTTTTATCTTGAAAGACAACTTCAGCGAGAGTCATCCGAATACAAGAGTTCGCGAATCTTTACTGGAAACTTTCAAGGCCTCGAATCAATCTCAGTCGGCACCGAGTCGTCCTGAGAAGGTAGAGCCATCGAGTGTGGTGAGACCTAGCCAAGCTGCATCGGGAAGCAAGCGAGACTTTCAAGGAGAGTCAAGCAGTTCTTCAAGACCGGTCGCAAAGGCCAAAGGTCCTACTCCGATTCAGGTGTCTCTAAGGTATACTCCAAGATTTCCGAGATCCCAACATTTGTATCGTTTTTCGGAAGCCAACGGCCCGGAAGAGAAACATACTTTGGCCTTCAACGAAATCGAGGACAAATCAAAAGTGCGCGTGTTGATATTAGATTGGCATCAGGTGGTTGATCGTGGAAGAGAAGGAACAACGTATTCCTTGGACCGGGTCCCATCGTCCAATTTGAAATTTATCAGCCAGTGCATTGAAGCAGCCGATAAGTTTGGGAAGCAATTTTTTGTTGGAATTCTGTCGTACATCGACACTGACAAGAGAGCGGCCTCGACTTTAGGGTATATACAAAATACAGAACAGTTTGCACAGGTATTTCACTGGGGTATCATTGTACGAAAAGATCGTTGTGGTGCTGAGGGGAAGTGCGCTTGTGTTACAGATATCATCGAGCAGACAGGGCTCTACGAGTCTTCATTCTTCTTCATTGACGACAGTTCAGACGTTCTTAGTGAGTTCAGCGATTACTTGCCTCAGGTTCGTGCTGCACACATTAAGTTGTCCAAGAAGCCAGCTGCGGTTGATACTTTCCCGCGAGCTAAGTTCTTGGAGGACTGTTTGCCATACGTCGAAGAGTGGCTGAGCGAGTGAAAAGTGGAGGTTAGGAAGTGAACCCTTGCCGATAAGGTAGTACACCCTTTATCCAATCCACTGCCAAAATGGCGTCATTCGAACCAAACATGTCGAATTCAGAAGACTTTCAATCATCGGAAACCGATAGATCTAGGTCTGCCCACATGGTAATCATGGTGTAACAGCTATGCAAGTTCATGCACAAAATGTCCCAACACCGAGTTCGGAGTCAGAATCCAGATCCATGTCAACGCCAGAACAGAGAGTCGTTCTTGCCAAAGCCGGCCCAGAGACTCTTTCAAATTTCCTTAGGGATGGGTCTCAAGCTAGCTCACCAACCATTCCGCAGAATCCGTTTCCAAATCCAGGTTCCAGTGCTGGTGGTCAGGGTCCAACTTACTCTCAAACAAATGTTCGAAACGAACTTCATGTGAGTATGAACCCATTCGTCATTGCAAGAGCCCATCAAGTCGTTGAGCAAGCTCGGGAAAATTTGAGGGCTGAAGCAATCCAACACGTTGAAGCTGAAAGGGGAATAGCTAGGAATGAAGCTCTAGCCTTTGCAGAACAAGTTCATTCAGAGGCTTCTAGAGTTGTAGGAGAATCTCAATCCCAAGTAGTTCAGTCTCAAAGGGAATTGAACGAAATTCGTGGGGAAGCTTCACAAGCTGTCCAAATGGCACACAGTGAAATTGAGAGTATCCGTTTGCAATCAAGAGCTGAAGTCCTTAGAATCCAAAGGGATGCACAAAGTCACGTTTCCCACATGGAGGGTCGGATGAATGAGTTGATTGAGATAAACCAGCAAATGTCCAATAAGATGGATGAACAAAGCCACATCATTGAGACAATGGCTAGGCAGATTGACAATCAGAATGCAGTGATAGCGCAAATGCAATCAGATGCTATGAGATCATCACCAAGAGCTGTAGATGCTACGGAGTTTCCAATTCACACTCCAGTGGGTCGCCAACTCCTTCAACCGGTCAGCGCAATTGGATTCGGAATGTCAGATGGATTACTGCCATATGCCCAGGATGCCGTGCAACCACAGCCGAGCGAGAAGCCACTTGGCTCCGCAGGCGAAAGACAAATGGGTTTTGGGCATAAGGGTAAAAAGGGATCAAAGGTCTCAAAAGAATCCAGTAGTCCAAAGCATTCAGGAACTGAAGCCATGCTAAGCCAATTGAAGTTGATGGTTCAAAATCTAGAAGCTAGAATTCCTAAGCCGTCATCGCCAAAAGCCTCTTCGGAGAAATCCAAAGCCTCGTCCAAGAGTTCGCATTCGTCTTCTTCGAGCGATTCGAAGAGGGGAGGGGGCAGTCCAGGGGGTTCAGATGGTGGTGGATCTGATAGGTCCAAACATTCATCAAGTAGGTCATCGTCTTCAGACAGTGATCAAGATGAATACAAGAAAGAAAAGAGAGTAATGCGCGTGAAAGGGTATGATGCCATGAGGCTGCCGATCATTCCAAAGAATGCTGCCGAAGCAAGGGGGTATCGGAACAGCATCTTCTCAGCAGTGTGCAAACTTGCCAAGAAAGATGAATCGAAAGTTTTCTCTTGGATTTCAAAGTGCAACAGTGCATTGACTCCAGGGGAGATCGTTTCAGGAGAATTCCCAATCTTGGATAGGATCATTGGTCACAAACTGTTGGAATCATCGAGAGGAACACGCTTCTCATTGGACTTTCAGACGGTTCAGGAATCCCATCAAAAGAAGGGTAAGCAGCCATCAGGACGACTTCTATTATGGACGATTTTCCAGAAGTTCAAGCTCGACAAGGACAGGGGGGCTGCAATGTCGCAGCATCACTTGCTTGCCTTGAAGATTGAAGGTGCGACTATCAAGTCACTGGTTGAGTTCAAATCCAAATTTGATTACATTGCCGGGTCTCTTGAACAGGTTGACATGCCAGCAGATAGTGCCTTGCGATCTCTCCTCTTCGAAAATCTGAAAGGTCATCCTAAGCTTGCCTTAGCCATAGATAAATTTCGTGAAGCAAGGTCAGGCTCGTCCAAAAGGACTTGGAATTGGCTGTATCAGAAAATGGAGGAAGCAATAGAGATTGAACAGTTGGATGAAAACACAGGGCATGTTGAAAAGGCATTGCAGTCATCAGGGGGCCACAAGGTAGTTGCAAACCCAGCGAAAGCTGAAAAGGAAGAAAAGGAAAAACCCAAAAAGGAGAAACCAAAGAAAGGTGATAAGGACCAACCTCGCGAAGAGAAAGGCCAGAAAGAAACAAAAGGGAAGACTGAGAAACCCAAGAAAGAGTCTCCGAAGAAAACTTCAGAGGCGGCTTCATCAGTTGCTGCTGCGCCTGGAAACCCAAAAGGGAAGGGCAAGAAGTCGGAACCAGGGAAAGGGTCTTCGGTGCCTATGTCTCGTGAGGACAGAGCCAAGTTACCATGCATGTACTTTGCCTATGACAGCTGTACAAAAGGAGCAAAATGTCCATACTTGCATGACAAGAACAATTTGTTTAAGGGTCCGAAGCCACAAGCACTGCAGAAGTCTAGCACTAGTGCAAGTGCCGGTGCAGCAACTGTTAGTGCCGGTGTAGCCCGAGTCATTGCAGGTGCAGCTGTCGGATCCACAATCAAGGGGGCTGAGGCTGCAAGGGCGAGTTGCAGTAATGCACCGTCCTCAGGGCAAGAGCAATTCGTAGGTGTTCTTTCAGATGCCAAGTGCCAAGCTCAGAAGTTTTTGAAAAGAACCAAAGGGCGCGTGAAACAGCCTGGGATGTTCGAAAAGGCATTCAAGTGCATTGCTGCTATGGCAGCATTGACAGATCCAACGTGCCTGAGACAAGAGTTCTTGATCGACTCTGGGGCTGGGAGAAACCTGATTTCAAAGAAGAGTTTGCCGGAGCAATGGGTTCCTTTCTTAGATGCCGCTCCTGAGAGCTTAAAGTTTTCAACTGGAGGTGGTATTCGGAATAGTTCCGAAGCCGTGCATTTGCGGGGTGAACATTCCGGGGATGGGATTTTCTATACGCTCCATGATTGTCCTGCAGCACT